AAAAAAATATTTAATTCTTATTTGATTCCCATCAATACACGAAGCTGTTTCAAAAGCCAATCATATTAATATATTTAGTATACTATTTATTTATATAATATGTGGAATTATTAACATTTTTACATTATATATTGCACAGTTAGTACAATACTGAATTAAACATTTCTTTTTATTAAATTATTGTTTATTTTTTTGTACAATTGTATTATGTGTACGATTTGTATTATTCTATTTGTATTTAGAACAAACATGCACTGCCATTGTTCAGTAATTACCTCCTCTGTCACAGCGTTATGTTAGTTGGAAGAGATAATGGCTTATCCTTGCCAATATTTTTATAACAATGTTATATTTTGTTAGACAGTACAAAAAAATTTACGTTCATAAACCGCTAAAATGTCTTATGTATAAATGATTTTTTAATATAATTATCGAAGAACTAGTAAAGCTAAAGCGTAAAGCTCGCGACTTCGTATTCATAGTATTGGAAACAACAATAGTTATATACCGTTTTGTATTACAAACAGATTGGAATAAAATAAAATTTGAATTGAATCTTACCACAATATAATTATGAAAACCGCAGTTAAATCTGTTAAACTTTTTCTGAGACGACTTTACATTTTATGTTATGATTGGATTTAGTTTTGTTTATAGATCTAGTCTGTCGTCTGTCGGTTACTGAGTTTCATAGCTCCCACTGCGTGTCACTATTGATTTTTCTCAGAGGCTGAGAGAGATTGCTTTTAAGTTGATTCTATTCGAAGATTGTAGACCGTAACAAATTGTAATTTCTTCCTTCACTTACTGGCTAATTGCGAAATTGAAGTTTGCTGGAAATCCCTCAGAATATTGATGAGGGATGAGAGAGTCAGTTGGCAAATTCACCAGGAATTTATAACGATAGTTTTCAGGGGAACCGCTTGGAGGTCAACCTGACTACTGATGGTATATTCTAGGTGAGATGACCCCATTCATCCACATCAGTAAATTAGGAATTTCCTTCCCCTTAACACGCATGTTTCTTGCTCGTTCTTCTTGTGATAAGTCTGCGTCCCAATGAGCGAAAAATAAAAAAAATGCTCTTCAAAAGGCTTATTCTTGCTTTATCCACAACAAAGTTATCCGGGGGACAAAAATACTGTGAGTCATTTCGAAAAAAGTATGGCGGGCTCAATTTGGCGAGGTGAACGCCTTCTGAAACCAAGAATATTTTTTTATTGGGTTGTTTGGGCTATTGGCAGGTGCTTGGACCTGTAGCACTGCGACCTATATATATCTATTATGCTCGAATTGAAGGATATTTTTAAAAGCGATGGTTTTTATCTCCTCAGTATAGAGTGTAACCAGGAGTAACAAAAAAACTGGAAAGGACAATTTGAGTATGTAATATTTCAGCGAAAACTGTTCAAGATAATTGGCTGAGCTGTGAAGGCGCTAAGGGGTGACAAACAAACGTACTGACCTTGAAGTATATAATATAAAGAAGGTTATAAAAATTATGTAACGTCCCCAAAGACGTAACAGTCGCCCGCAATGCGGGACACGAACCTTGAACATGTAAATATGTTTCCAACCCAAATCTTTACGCAGTATATATTATACAGTAAAATTAGATTTTTATTTATCTTTACTTATAAGAGTGATTGGATTTTTTTTGTTCGTTTTTTTGTATATCGGCTACCAACCAAGCTGACGACTTGATGGTAAGTGGTAACCATCGCCTATATTGACGACCTCGGTGGTCTAGCGGGTAATTACACCGCTTTTGATTCCACTGTCGCGGTTTCGATTGCTCGCGCGACTCCAACTTTTATATTCGTAAGTATGATTGTATGTATAGGTCTGGCTGTTTTCATGTATATTAAGCATGTATTTTCTATTATTTGTTTAGTACCTGTAATACAAGCTATGCTTAGTTCGGTGTAATAAAAGAAATATGACTTTACAAAAAGATAATATCCAAGAATATAAAATCTAGTAAATGTAAGATAGACTCCATTTTCCGCAATCAGTTGTAGAGCTGAGGCTACTAGAGTAGCCAGCCAAGAGTGCAGAAATCTTCTGGGTGTCTTCACAGGCTTCACAGAATGACCTCGCCGTTCCGAGGATTTGTTCGTTGTGTGGCCACTGCTACGCACTCCAGGATTACGTGAGCAGCTATTTCTTTGGCTTCAAAGCAGCTCCGACAAAGGGAACTGTCTGTAGCACCTATCCGAAGTCGCGAGTTACAACTTATATATGAAAAACATTGCTGATTTATATTCAATGTTCGCTGTATTGTATACGTGAACAGTGTGAGAATATAGTAGTTTCTACCTGCGTGAAGTGGAACGCACTTTTTAGAACCAAAATTCAATTCGGCGCGAATCGGTAAAGGTTTTTTCTTTGAATTCTATTAAGCAGGTAGGTTATTTTGTTAAATTAATTGTTGGTTATCTACAATTTTTTTATGAATCTCCATTAATCAATGATTGCTATTTTGAAAGGAGATCATTTTTTATACGGCATATTAAATGAAACGAAACATTTATATTATATGATCAGCCTAATTCCAAATTATGAGAAGACAAAATTTTATATGATACGTCTGTCAATAATGACATGTTGCATTATTATTACTTTATACGATTTAAAATTTATTATATATTAGTGTTAAGTCATTTTAATATAATTTTTATTTGTGTCATACAAATAAAAATTATATTAAAATTGTCATAAATTATTCTTAAATAAAATATAGTTTTACGTTTATTGTTATGTGCACAAACTTTCATCCCCTATTTCACCACTTAAAGATTATATCATGTGCTAAGAGATAGCCCATGTTTTTGTACTCCCCATATAATCCATCCTTCATGAGTTTCCTATTACTATGTAATATTATGTTATTTGTGCTATTACCATCTCAAGACTATACAGCAAAATGTATCGTACTTTTACTCATATAATTTTCAAAAGATTTGTTATCTTTTGAAAATTATATGAGTAAAAGTACATACGTATACGTTTTGACATTTATAATACACAAGTGATCCGTTCCACAGCTTCGCATAGATATACATACATTACAGATATTTTAATTCCTCGGCTTGTTATATATGTACGATAATAAGCACGTATGTGGTCTAAAGATTACCTAAAATTAAAAACCTTAAAATATATTATTAAAAGGAGTCCCTTTAGCACGTATTATACATATATATTCTTTCCTTCGTCTTGAGTCAATCTATCTATTGCTGAAAACTGCATTAAAAGCCGTTGCGTAATTTAAAAGATATAAGGAAACAGATAGCGGCGCCTTTGTTTCATACTATAAATATATGGCAAAACAAACCGAACTTAATGAACAGTGGTAACATTACCTATATTCAACTCTTATAAGAGCTGTATCAACTCTGATAATCTGTAGTGTTAATTACTCTGTGAAAAGACTAAGAAAGGAAGTAAATTTCTTAATATTTGATCTTGCACCGTAGTGTCACGGCCACGCACCATAAATTACAACGCTGAGTAATTTTTGTCTGTGATATATACAACTAACTACATTAAAAATAAATCTACCAAGGAAACAGTTCTAAATTCAAATTTTCAAATTGAGAACACAGACGCGTTCCATTGCGCACATTCGAATGCGTGGCGCGCGCCGGAAGCTGCTAATGCGGTAACAAGCCGATGCATCCGTCACTATAGCGGCCCGTACCAAACTGGGTGGCACTTCGCACTACCGAACGGAATGGCCAATAAACGACTAATAAATTACACAGAAAAACACACAAAGCAGTATACGAGAGTTCTTTCACGCTTCGTAGGAGTTGAAACAGTAATGTATCAAAGATATCATTATTGCGGTCCCGTTAAACCAAGTCTCTTGAACGACTTCAAAGTAAATATATCTACTACTATAATAACAGGTATTATGTCTATTTTTCATTGGTAGCCATCGCGTATATAAATGAAAAGCACCACAGACAACATCGTCTTTTGAAATCTGTGGACCACTCGTGAATTGCCATTCCGAAGGACTAACTAATTTTACAGAAGTAAATTATAAAACGTCGTCTGCGTATCTTTTTTTTAATGGATCATAATGGAATGGAGGATAAGATAAACAGAAGGTTTGGTCAGTTAGCCCATCGGACAAGATCCCCGGTTTTATTTCTGCGGTTCTCCTAGAAACCATCATGACAAATTCCTGGTGAATTTGTCACTACGGGCTAACTGACCTGATCTCATACTCATCCTATCCCCTCCATTGGTGCCCCGCCAGCGCAGATGGGAGCCCATACCATTATTATACATAAAAAAAAACATTATTGTTTGTTGTTTTATGGAGTCAATAAAATCAGTGTATACTCTATTACTGACCCCTTCCCGCATCACTTAACCATATCAATAGGGTTAACAGAATTCTTAACCCCAATATAACGCGATTCGTTAAATCACAGTTAACAATTGATTAAATTAAATTGCTTCGTCTATTAGATCAGCTATCAGCGAACGTTACGCCATGACTCCGCCGTTTTATTAACTTTAAAAAGTCATTAATCATTATAAATTGCATTTTGTCTCAAATTGAATGGTATTAGTGAATTTCATGGCACTTACCTGTGGTTTGTATTTACAGTTTAAACAACATTTTGTTGAACCTGTATTGTAAAGTAATTTTAAATTTGACGCCAAATTTTTTTGTATTTTAATTTAGTTTTTATAAATCAGGAATGCCAATTTACTGCCTAATCGGCACCCTACAACCAAAACACAGCTAATAGGTTTTTGGCGGTTGAATTAGGTGAGATAAGTATTTAAGAAGAAGAAAAAGTTGGAGTCGTGTCGAATCAACAGCTAAATAGATTATGATGATGAAGATGGTGGAAGGTAGCGGAAGCTCCACCGACAAGAGCAAAGCTCTTAAATTATGAATGAATGAAGTATTTAAGCCAGTAGGAGACGACTTTTATAGTCTACCTCTTTTTAAATAAACGGGAATCTTGTTTCAGGCAAGTGGGTCGGAACCTCATCATCCCTGGTGGTACCCGCACCATCGATGCCACGGGAAAACTGGTGATGCCTGGAGGTATCGATCCCCACACTCACTTCGAGCTCGAGATGATGGGGGCCAAGAGCGTGGATGACTTCTACAAGGGCACCAGGGCTGCTGTGGCCGGTGGTACCACTACTGTCAGTAAGTAATGCTTTGTTTTCTTCCGACTGTTAAAATAATTTGCTAATGCAATGGTATTTTACAACAATAGTATTAAAAAAAATGCTATCGGATCATTGACCAGCCTGAATTGTTTGTCTATTAAAAAAACTATTTTCAAATATTGCGATTTACGTTAAATTAGTAAATTCTCGAAGTGATGTTACTCATGAAATAGTTTTGCAAAAAACACATTATCGAGTCCTTCAAGTCTATATTATCTGTCGATTAAAACAAATACACTAATCACGATATATTATTTTAAAACGGATAGCTACTAACAATTTATATCATGAATATACAGAAAGACGGATAAACATATAAACAAATAAATAAGGGTTGGGTTCCGTTTTACCCTTTAGTCATCTTTTTTCGTAACCCTAAAAATATTTATTTTTCCCTGTTAGTTTAGTGAGAACTATATTACATGAAAAATTTTCTTCTTAATTATTTTAAATAATAAAAAAATACCTAATTGCTTTTATAATTGGGCCGATGTTGGAAGTGTTTTTATGTGTCACTTTAACATTTCAGTCGACTTCGTTCTACCTAATAAAGGCCAATCTCTAATAGAAGCATACAACAATTGGCGCCAAAAAGCCGACGGAAAGGTCAGTAAAATAAATACTACAGAATATTATATGGAAAACCATAGTAGAATAAGTAAATGATTTGTCTTAAATAAGTCGGCTGTTTTCGGAGATAAAAATCTTGCTAAAAATTTTTCATTTTGCTAAAAACTAAATTTCATAAATTATGATTAAGAAATTTCAAAGTAAGCTGAGTCTGATAAGGCAGTCAATTTGCAGGATAATGGATATGACATCTTAGTTCTCCGGAATGACAATGCATGTATCATGGAGGTCATACGGTAAAGTCGTGTCTGTATTGCTGTCCATTTATTTAGGCGATGGTTACCACCTACCAACGGGCCGTCTGCTTGTTAGCCCTTTCAGATATATATTTTTTAATTCAAATGCGTTTATTTATTTATTTGAGCTACCTACAAGAAATACATCATGAAGTTACAATTATTATCACTTGCAAGTTCAGGTACATAGTGTTGACTTAATTACTGGAAGTCACGGCATGCGTAAATGATCAATTTGTTGATTTTTTTTTAGAATAATATCAGCAGTAATCTCTATTGTGTATAAAAATATTTAATATTTAATAATTATCGTAATTGCCAATTCAGGTATGCTGCGACTACGCTCTCCACGTAGGCGTAACCTGGTGGTCTCCCTCCGTCAGGAATGAGATGGAAATGCTCACCAATGATCAGTATGGCGTCAACTCATTCAAAATGTTCATGGCGTACAAAGATGCATGGATGCTGAATGACTACGAACTGCAGTGCGCTTTGGAGGCCTGCACCGAGTTGCAGGCTTTGGCTCAGGTATGTTGAGAAGAAGGGAGAAGAAGTTAGTTCCAATGGGAATGAAAGGGGCTATAGAGTGGGTCAATGCCGTCTTGGGGAGTCCGTTTCTACACAGGGAGCAGTTGTGAGGGGAAGGGAGCTGTTCTAAATCTCACATCCCCACCTTGTTGGGGGCCGTAGTCTTATTAACTGGGGTAAGCTATTCTTCAATTCACGCAGACATTAATCGCGGTGGACTGCTATTCAATCCCGACTCCTGTGTATAGACTTGGATTAGAGACATCTTGGAGTTTTTGATGAGTAGGAGTCTCACACCAGTGGAGGATAATAGGATGAGCATGAGGTCAGGTCAGTTAGCACATCGTGATAAATTCAGATGATTTCCAGGGGGAACCGCGTGGGGGTCAACCAAGCAAGGCACATTGCTAGCAATAGGGTCATCAATCCACATCACTAACAATCCCCTTTCCCCCCTCAAAGTACTTGTTTGCCTTCCCCGGGTCTTCATGAGGATTTTCTGCAAGTAAAAAAGAATGTTTTTTTAAAGAGGTGTTATAACGGGGTTGGTAAGAGAAATTACAGAACAATAACAATAATAATAATAATAAAGACATTTATTCAGCATCACATCAGTATCAGTAAAACATACTGGTAACGCTGAATGTTACTCCTATACAACCTCTTAGACCTCAGAAATGACATAGCAGCCACGGTGGTTATGCACTTTCAGGGGCACTCGGCAACTCGCGAGTTCGATACCTCGCACGATTCAAACATTTGTATTAATGAGTATGATTGTTTGTATTGTTCTGTGTATACATATAATGTATGGATGCATTGTAAGACATTAATTTTGAATTATGATATTAAAGTAAAGATAGTTTGAAAATGACATTACAAATTGGGGCATTTAAACAGTTAGCACCCAATAAAAATATTACCTATTGCTGTCATCTATTGTTCTGCTAATAAATTAATTTCATTACATTTATGTATTTAGAAAAAACATGTATATAAAAGTATATGTATCAGTTGTATCAATACCCATAACACAAGTTCTACTTAGCTTAGGACTAGATGGCGCTGCTTGAATTGTACTAGGTTATTATTATAATATTTTGTTGCAGGTCCACGCTGAGAATGGAAACATTATAGCCCGCAACTGTGAGAAGCTGCTGGCAGCAGGAGTAACAGGCCCTGAAGGTCACCCGCGGTCGCGAGATGAAGAAGTAGAGGCTGAGGCCGTGAACAGAGCCTGTGTTATCGCTAACCAGGTAATTAAGGGGCCTCTCACATTTCCGATAAGAGTCGGTCGATCCGTGCCATCGATTCGCGTTTATTTGCTACTGCGCTCGCTTTTAGGAAATGCGCAAATCTGTGCTCACGAAGCGTACAGATATTTCCGATAAGAATCGGACGATCCCTGCCGTTGACGCCGTACGATTAGCGTTTAATTCTTTGGTACAGCGCACTGGAAATGCCCCAATTTAGGCGTCTTAGGCACAAGTCGTCCGGATTAAACCCGATAATGTGAGCCCACTGTAACACACTGACATAGGCATATTTAATACAAAACACGCTTATATATGTACATGCTGTCAATTTAGTATTTACTAACACAATAATTATATTATCATTGTCACTAACACATTGGTAGAATATAGTTGTTTTCAAAAAGTAAAAAAAATCTCAAATCAGTGCAGTAGATACGGAGTTTTTAATAACAACATTTGAACAAGTACATACCCATTGAAATATACATAAAAAATTTCATCCAAATCAGTGCAGCCCCTTAGTCTGAGTTTGATGACAAACTGTAAATCATATCAGTGCCTTGTGGGAAAAATAGTAATCATTATCACATTAAAACACATTTAAATAAGAATGTTATATGTATGTATAGATAAATTAGATAATCCCTCTGTAATCCTTTTCAGGCGAACTCTCCTCTCTACATAGTGCACATAATGTCCAAGAGTGCTATACAAGCGCTGCAGAATGCAAGGACCAGGCAGAGACCGCCGCTGTACGGAGAAACCCTTGCTGCCACTGTTGGTACCGATGGTAAGGCAACATTTTTTTTTAATTTGCCAAGCAGGAGAGGAAGCGCCACTACACATCCTATGTGGTTGTAACTCACTCATGCATAAACGAAATCTGCTTTGGGAAGTATCACTCTATCACTCTATCCTATACACTATCCTGAGGAGATTAAAAACCATCGCTCCTAAGAATATCCCTCAATTCCTGTCCTTGACTGGTCTATCTTAAAAAAGGTCCTTGCCCTTTTTCAAAGTTGCTACCTGAGCTGAAGTTGCTTGCTGAGAGAAGTGGTTTTGGTCTAAGGTTCTAACATATTGAGAAGAATTCCCTGTCGATTAATTGTGTACCATTGTAGTTACATAAGAAAATAACACTATGATTATTATTTGCAGGTAGTCACTATAGGAACGCGTGCTTCCGTCACGCGGCTGCTCACGTGCTGTCCCCCCCTCTGCGGGCTGACCCCTCCACTCCTCAAGCCATAGTTGAGGCACTCGCCGAGTTAGTATTTTGTTTTTTTATTATTTATTTCTATAGTATTGACCTATTTATATAAACTGGGACTTTTTATAAAGTATTTAGTTTATATAAATAGGTCAATAGTAACTACTAATGGTCGAAAATCGACCATAAGTAATTTAAATTATAAGTTTGAACATTATTAAGGTTCTATTGTCAAAGTCTATAATAACTTCTATACATGTGTGTGTAAACTACATGTTTAATATTTTTTATTATTGAATTAATTTATTTTTTATGTTTAGTTTAAAAAAATATATTAGTATTCTGCACTCCTCTATATAAACTATAAGTGTGCGAAATTTCATGCTCCGCGCAAATTTCGTAAAGAAGGTTACAAAAGTTGGCTACACGTATTAATATATTGATAAATAAAAATCAAGTATCTGTTTGTAATTCCAAATTAACAGCTCATTATTAAATGCATATGAAAGTATATGCAATTACATCATATATTTATAAAAAAAATATCTGTCTGCCTGTATGTTTGTTATTGCTAATCTCCTAATCGCCTGGTTCACTATGCTGTACTCTGGTACGCTGGTACGATACATTTAGTGTCTGAAATATAAATTTACACCTAATTTTGTCAGCCAAATTCGAACTGACGACATTCGGGACTTGTTATGGTGGTAAACACCAAGACATGACAGTCAAAATGGTACTCTCTGCAATAGTTTTAATTTCTACTTTCAGTGATAGCTTACAAGTGATTGGAAGTGACAACTGTACTTTCCACGAGAAAGACAAGGAATTGGGGAAAGGCAACTTTACGAAGATACCAAACGGTGTCAACGGGGTTGAAGACCGGATGGCTATATTGTGGCAGAAAGCAGTCAATACCGGTACTGTATCTATTAATGATAGAACTGTAAAAGTAACTATCAACGCTGTACCCGTACTTAGTTACTAAACCAATTGTAATGGTTACTAGTGTATGGTTAAATTACTAGGTACTTTTTATATTAGTTACACCATTTCATCGTCACCATTCACAAATAAAATAAAGCTAAAAAATATCATACTTTTCTTAGTGCCTTATCTTATCCCAAGCAGAGCTTGTGTTATTGGTACTAGCTTTTGCTCGCGGCTTCGCTCGCGTTAATTTATCCCTTTAGGGATGGAATTTATTAAAATCCTTTCTTAGGGGATGACTACGTCATAATAGCTTTATGCAAGGAAAGTCTTAGCCAGATCGGTTTAAAGTTGATGAAGTTTCATATAAAATTTCATCCCCTTGGGGGTAGAATTAATCAAAATCCTTTCTTAGCGGATGCCTACGTCATAACATCTACCTGCATGCCTGCTGCACCAAATTTCAGCCCGATCCGTACAGTGGTTCACTATGTCAGTCACCTTTAATATATTTAGTTCAGTAGTCTTGTACCCATAACAAGCTCTGCTTACCTTGGGACTAGATGGCGCTGTATGAATTGTCCAAGCTATTGTTGTATGTATATTATACTACATTATGAAATACTTACACTAATACAAACAATCATACTCATATTCATACATTGCACGATGCATTCATTTGTATTCTCAAATGTATTCATCGTGTGAGGAATCGAACCTGCGACCATCGGAACTAAAGGTTTATCCTAAGCCACTTGACCACCGAGGCTGTAATCCAATATGTTCATTGATCAGGCGTCATGGATCCGTGCCGCTTCGTGGCGGTGACCAGTGCTAACGCTGCGAAGATCTTCAACCTGTGGCCGCAGAAGGGTCGCGTTGAAGCTGGTTCAGATGCCGATGTCGTGGTCTGGGATCCACGCTTGCAGCGGACCATCTCTGCTGCCACTCATCATCAGGCTGTCGACTTTAACATCTTCGAGGTCTGTAACACTTTATTTTATACAAGCTGCCCACGATTTAACTCGCGTGAAATTTATAGCCTATGTGTTATTCTGATTTAAAAGCTTATATTATAGTAAAGTTTCATAAAAATCTGTTCAGTAGTTTTTGTGCGAAAGAGTAATAAACCATCTATCTAAAATCCATGAATCCACACTAACAAACTTTCACATTTATAATATTAGTAACATTAGCAGTTATTAGTAGTTTGTGTTACATTTTCCCCTTTTTGCAACATTTTTCATTACAGCTCCGCTCCTATTGGTCGTACTTTGAAAGCGTATGACACACAAAACTAACGTGTAAAAGAATTTACAAAAACGGTTCAGTAGCTCCCTACTACTAACGAACTCACATACTTTATGTCTTTATAATGTTAGTAAAGTAAAAAGAACATGTAATTGAGAAAATACGTTTATTTTTCAAGCATTTCTGCTGTAAGTAAATATATGCAGCTTGCGAATAGAAACTGTTTTTTTTTCCTTGACTGACAAAGTACGCATGAATCATCTGGTCGTGTGATGCCGATAGTACCCTTCATGCTCTAAAAACTTATATATTAACAATACAGGGTCAAGAAGTAGTAGGGAGCCCGCAGTACGTGATTGTCAACGGGCGTGTATGTCTGGACGACGGACAACTGAGGGTTGCTGAAGGTATTTAACTATATTATTCCATAATAAATAAATTCAATACGTACATTCGCCGTTGCTTTAAAAGTACACCTCAAAGTCAGGAGAAATAAAACACTACTGCGCTATAAGATTGCAATGAGATGGTAATTACCACAATAAGAAAACAATATGTACATAGACAAGAAGCCTTAATCAATAAATTACTACAACTCATTAGTACCTATAAAACGAAAACATATCGCGTCGTAGCAATTGAACAGCGGCATCTAGTGACAACTATCTAAATATATATAACTCAAAGGTGACTGACATAGTGATCTATCAACGCAAAGCCCAAACCACTGTACGGATCGGGCTGAAATTTGGTGCAGCAGGCATGCAGGTAGATGTTATGACGTAGGCATCCGCTAAGAAAGGATTTTGATTAATTCTGCCCCCAAGGGGATAAATAGGGGATGAAAGTTTATATGAAACTTCGTCGATTTTAAACCGATCGGGCCGAGACTTTGCTTGCATAAAGCTACTATGACGTAGCCATCCCCTAAGAAAGGATTTTGATAAATTCCACCCCTAAAGGGATAAATTAACGCGAGCGAAGCCGCGAGCAAGAGCTAGTGTAAACTAAATTTACAAGATTACTTTAATTTATATTGCGAATGATTTCTCGAAGAAAGTTAGGACATATTCACTGGCAGCTTCTATGTACCTTCATCTCAAGCACTACGTGTATGCCTAATTTTACAATGGTTGGTCGAGGGATTCGCATAAGGACATATCTACATTGCAAAGATTTGATGGCCTCGATGCTCTAGCGGTTTAGCGCACTGCTTTACTTCCGATGATCGTGGCGTCAATTCCTCGCAGGGTACAAACATTTCTATTCATGAGTATGATTGTTTGTATCGCTTTATTGGTAAAGAAGCCTATTATTATTGTGTTTTTCTTTTACAGGATTCGGAAAATTCCTGAAAACACCAGTGAACTGTCCGTACGTGTATGGACTTCCAGAGCCTGGTACCCCGCCGCTAGATGAGCCTCCGTCCCCGGATGTGCCCTCTCCAGCTCATGTCAGTAACGGAGGCTCCCACTCGCCCGGTAAGCACACGAGTACTAGGCGTAGAACATAGTAAAAGCCGAAAAAATGTCGACAAAAAAAAATACATGATTTATTCACGTAACTTTTTTTTGACGTAATTTTTAACCCCTTCCTCCTGGTAGTCTGGCTTTTAACGTATCCCCAAAGATACGTTAAACTAAAGCCAGACTACTGAAAATCACTTTTATTTTCCAAGTCCTTTGTGAATGCTTGGCCGCGTCCATTGTTCCCTTATTTTATAGTAAACTATATACTGTTTTTTAATCTCGGAGACTAAAACTAAGAAAAAATAGAAGATAAAGATTATAGGCACATCAAAAATTATTTCAATAAAAAATGGGCTTCAAGGCTATCCATTTCCAACAGATCTGAAGCTGTTGAACAAGCACCTGGAGGGAGTGTCGGTGACATCATCAGGCTGCAGTACGCCCACCGGCCGCAAGATGCGCGAGCCCGGACAGCGTGACCTGCAGAACTCCACCTTCTCCATCAGTAGTACGTATTTTTGTAGATGATGGAATGAAAACACCTGGGTGTTTATTGATAATGGACTGGTGCACCCACCTCGTCAAATTTCGCCCGTTTTTCACTACATTTTTATTTCCAGCTCTGCTTTTATTGCATATAGTCTAGGGGCCAGTGATAGTATATAGCCAAGGGGCTTGCCCATTTATAAAAGATGGCCCTGGGGTTCTTTGATAAATGGGCTAATATAATACTAAAAGAATTTTCAAAAATCGGTTCAGCAGATCCAGAGATTGCTTCTACAACGTCACAAACTTTCAAACTCTACAGTATTAATACAGATACAGATACAAACAATCATTATCATGTATACAAATGTTTGTATTGTAAGAGGAATCGAATCGCAATCATTGAAAGTAAGATGATATGCAAGTTTGACGGCCTCAAACTTACAAACATACTGGCAAATAAATTAGATAATTAAGCTGCTGTTTAGTCACAGTTAATGACATATAAATTCTTTTTCATTTACAGAAGAGGTCGAGGGTCTGGATACAAAGACATCAGTACGTGTGAGGAACCCACCTGGTGGCAAGTCCTCAGGCCTCTGGTAATCTGTCAGCTGTTAGCACAGATGACGCTTCAGCGTAGCAAAGTCACACGTGGAAATAATTAAACGAGTATGTATAAATTCCCGCCAAAACCAAACCATAGACAATGCTATTTTTGTTCGTAAAACTATTAAAACGTGACCAAGTGGTACTGAGATGATGTCTGATTGACCAAGAAATTATAATGTTCAATATGACAATTTTTAATAAAACATTTTTGTTTTTTATTGTCTATTTTACAAAGGAATAAAAAGTATGTAAGAGTACTTTTTAATTAGGTATGTCAAATAAGTTTAATTTTAACCACTAATTAGCCGTAATATCTACGTGATTTGAGAAAAAAATATTAATCAAAAAACTTGACGACATCTTGAATCGTTTTTGTTTTGATTTGATTTGATTAATCGTTTTATCATTCCACGTGTGAACTTAACGCCAATGCTTGGGACAGCTACGAACCAATTTAGTTTATTTCTTTGTAGCCCAAAGCTTTTATTATGGTAATAAGTGTTAGACTGTTTAACTATAGGTCACAACATGATTATGTATTTATCTGGTTTTATATAGGCTTATGTGTTATCCTCGTTACTGGACAATCATGGGTTTGATTCTCAACATTAATATTTGAATTGACAAAATTCTGCACTTTTTATTTATTATGGGCAACAAATTTAATAGAATATTAAATGATTTAGGCACGCGTTGTTGTGGCCTCAGGCCTATTTAAACTGCAGTATCTTTAATGTTGGTCCAATTTAATTTCGTTACACATATGAACCTTGATACATATTTTTCTTTTTTACGTAGACATCCACTATAAAAATATTTCCAGTGTATCCAACAGGAACGGGAGAGATAAAATAACAGTAATTATCAATTGTTGGGCCCAACAAAAAAATGTTCTATCAATGAAATGAAATGATGACTCGTATTGTCCATTAAAGAGGACCAATTGTATGAAAATACATTAAAAATTCAAGCTACCACCGACTTTGTATGCATAGATACCGTAGTTTTTAAGTTTTATTTTATTTAGAACGCAAAATAAGTTGTGCCAAATATATTTAGAACCAGCGCTAAAAAGATTATAATTATATTATGATATTTTATGCAGATTCTACTTTACTGAATATACTTGGAGTTTAAATTTGCTAATATTACAGATTAAAAATATTAACTTACACTTTAAAAATCTATGAGATCTATGCATAATGGTTTCAATATTTTATAACATATATAACCGCATATATAAGTAATAGTACTTATATGTTAATAGTTGATAATATGTGTAGTTTACGAATTTAAATGCGCATAGAATAAGGTAGTTTCAATGGAGTATGATCGAGAGCTTAATTACGTAACACAGTTGCCAACAATTCTTATTTGAAACAGTTGCAAAAATACAACTCTTTAATGGTTCATACAAAATCGCTAAACTATGTTGATAATCTGTTGCAAATGAAAATTGTTAGCAACAGTATTACATAATAAAGTAGTGGATTATGTGATAATTGTTATGATTGATAATTGAGTACGTACGTATTTGTGACATGGGCTAGTTAAGCATATCTTTATAACCTGGAAAGAAGACATTTTGTGCGCAGTTAAATTACATAAAATAATTGACCTCATATTGACTTTGAAATATTCGTGTTCTAACATTATAAATATACCTAAATATATATACAACTTCCATGAGAGTTTTCCAATTACCAACCATATCGTGTCAAAATTTGAGGTAAAATTCAATAAAAAATAATATTCGTTGATTTCATAGACCAATAACATCTTTAACCAGTGACCAAATACTTTTTCGAAGGTTGTCTATGCTCTCAATCCAAATTTGAAAACAAATAGGTATTTAAGATGTTCTAACCTAAAAATGCAAATAACATTGTTTTTGCCCATTGAGATTTAAGAATGTGACCACTTTGAGTTTAGTTTTCAGGTAAAATATCTTGAAAAACATTGCGAACTCAAGCTCGGCAAAAATTGGCAATCTTAACGATTTTGACACTCAAAGGAGTACAAGATATCTCAAAATCTTAATAAATTGAGCAATATTGCGGCTAGATTTAGATTGAGTGCATTAAAAATCTTAAAACCCCAGATAGGTAAGAGGCTTGAAATAATGTTATTGGCTTGTATTATTTGTTACAGCAAGTACGTCGTTTCCCTTATTCTAAATAACATTATAAGAGCGGTTGAAAATTAAATTAATGGAATACATTATTATGTCAGTGTTACGAAAATTTTCATGACATTAAACTACTTTAGAATCAACTTGCATGTATGTTTGTATGACTATTTGACATTTACACACTTACAATATTTTTTTTGTATTTGATGTGTAGAAAAAATCGTAGGTTTATTTATCCTTTATGAGAGTATGTTGTTTGTGATTATTATGGTTTGTCTATCTGTTTATTGTAAGTTAGTTAATAAGAGTTTTATTGTTTTTATACTAAGCACTATTATAGCCAAATAATTTATATACTTACAAATATTGCAGTTGTTACGGCGACTTGATTGGTTTCAATCTTTAAATAACTAGGGACAACATTGTAATACATCCCACTAGACATATTAACATTGCCTAAAATGTTTAAATGGCACATTGAAAAATTACACATATGATTCTAATATTTAAGTCAACATTAAATAAATCTGATATGAAGACTATTTTACCGAGTATGTATATTGATTAAATGTGTTGCCAGGAGCAAAAATTAATTATCTAAAATAAAAATACTTTATAACCCAGCTAATTATTAATATTTTCTATAACAATGTCCAGGTTTGTTTTTCAAATTATGTACTCGAATATAATCGTGCATTCGAAGTGAACTTAATTTGACCTTTTAGACACACTTATCATACATGTCACTGTAGTGGATATAATAAAAAAAAGAATACGAATCTACCCCACACAACAACAACAACAACACACCCTAGATTTTATGGTCACAGTACAAATTTTGTAATTAACTCTTTTACAATTTCCTAAATATTCAGCTAATGTATGTAGGCATCACAATTTTATATAGCATTTTACATTTTTTTTCTAAATGTATCCTCTATTATGCATTGTCACGAATAAACAATGTAATCTCGAGTATTTTGTTTTATTTAAACATTTTTCGCACAAGCACATTGTGGAATCACGTTCCAACAATGGTATTTCTGAACCAAGGTGATATTGTAATCTTTAAGAAAAACGCTTATACATTCGGCTGGCAACGCACTTGCAATTTCCCTGGTGGTGCTCATGCGCAGCGATAATCACTTACCATCAGGTGAGTCGCAAGCTCATTTGTACCATGCTATAAAGAAATAGAAACATTATGTATATAACATTATCAATGAAAACGAGTAAAATATCGAGTATATCCAATGTTAAAAAGCCCGTTGTATTAGCTAGGGGAAGCACGTGGGTGGATATTATTGAAGATTCGGTAGGGATCCCAATTCATTCTAGTAGTAAATGCAGCCTATGTTGTTTAGAGGTAATGTAGCATTCTAATGATGAAATACTTTTTTAATCGGTTTAATTTCGATGTACGGGGCGGGACGTTGCCGTCAGAGCCAGGTTGGAATACGCATGCGAAACCCCCAGCTCCGGTATAGGCTTGCGCTTGCAGGTACATCGTGTGGTTTTTAGTGGGTGAAAATCTCACACCACCCGGCCTATAAATATTACTTACTTGCGGCTTTCAATTACTACTTTCGTTGGCTGCATCTACCGGTGCTTTATCTCGTATACCAAATAAAGTCGTGACGAGATGCTATTTTCAAATAAAATAAAACAAATACAATTTTTAAGTTGTTTATTAAAATAATATTCGTTCAACTGAACACAAGATAGGGGACCGGACCTAATAACCGAGTTTACTAACTTGACAATTTCCTTCATTCTACAAAATAAAATAACGAGGTCATCCAACCCGTTTGTCTTTACTCTTAACAATAAAAACAATATATAAAATCTATCAACATAAAAGACCATTCAGAGGTATCCGGTATCGTGAAATACCACCGCGGTGTTATAGTAAATTTGGCACAGTTATAATAATAAAATTACTACTGATTCACGGTACCTTCGCCGATTGACAGCACAACATAATCTGTACAACTACAGATTATGATCGGAATGGGTACACCAATTATAAATAACAAATTGACACCTGATTAAACTAGCGTGGGAGTATTAGCGCCGTATTTATTCTCGGTTAAGTAAATACTCAGCATATATGAGTACAAACTGAGCAGATATGAGTAAAAACTCAGCACATATGAGTAGAAACTCAGCACATATGAGTAAAAACTGAGCAGATATGAACAAATGCTTAATAAGAGTAATATAGCCAGCCTCGAGTAAATACGGCACGTACTCATCAATAAATAAATAGGATTAACCCAATAACTAACATGAAACGCTCTCTGAGCGAGCGTAGCCATGCACGACAATTAATAACATTCATGTAATTTTAATGGGTTGGTATTCTTATTAAAATTGGTTAATATCGTAGATCGTATATATATCCTCCAGGTTTGATTCTATTACTAGACCTACATTAGCCAATCGATTTGATCATTTATTGTCGACATTTGATTAGATATTTATTGTTTTTTATTACTATTGGTAATATGTTATTTAATGGCTCAATCAATCGTCATGTAATTAGTCATACTAGTACAAATAAGTACAGATTATATTAATCATCAATACAAGAACATAACCGACAACCAATTTGACATAGTTTAGCAATATTAATAATGCATCATGTACTTAACTATAACTTGCCGTCTTTGAAAAATATATGTTAGGTAACTACATGAAAAAGTGGTGTCAATTAGCGAAGGCCGGCTTCCCTGGCAATCTGTTTACAGTTCTAGATGGTTTTGGCACGGTGTTGCTTATATTAAAAATAAAGAAAAAGTGTACGAAGTAAAATAAAATGATGACAAAAAATAAATTCTTTCTGTACGAAAAAAAACGAATTCCGATAAACGGTATTTTCATGTAAAATACTCTTAAAAATAATTTTTAAGAAAAATCTAATTTACATTTAGAAGACTAATACAGTACCCATAGTTTTCAATATTGCACAAAGTGTTGATTTCATGCAAAATCGTACGGTTGATTAATATTCAAAGATGGTATAACAAACAGGTCGATAATGTAAAAAAAGTGATTATAATCTGTGTTTTAGTCATAGAGTACATATTTTACGTCCTCTTAATCAACATATATATGGATCTTCATTAATATTCAATTAAAAACTTCAATCAACGCAGGCACAATTTAAAAATCATAGTCATGGAGTCGATATTGCGATTAACAACGTTAAAATTCTTAATAATAACAATAAAAAGTAATTAACAAAAAGTTGTGTCGAATAAAACAAACCATCGAGAACATTCCGAGGGAAATTAATCACTTTTTATATAATTAATAATAATATAAATGCAATATTTTTTTCTTTATACCAAAAATGCTCTAAATATTGAATTACAAATTTATTTACATCACCAGTTATACTCTGGGGCTTGCCACAGTGTAAAAAAATCATCGAATATATGCGACATTGAATTTATCGTTTTGAGTCAGTATTCAACTAATATTTTCTTAAAATTCTTTTTATATAGTAATATGTATAGGTAAGTAGCATAGTACACTTACATTCTAATATGACACAGTTAGATTATAACTATTTTTATACATTTACATCATGTATGTACTTACACATATACAAGGACTGTATTGTACCAAATCGACCTCGAATTCGTATCGCAAATCAATGGGTAATCTGTGACATTGGCGCCCTTTTTTGCTCAATGATATTCATAATTACTATATATGAATAACATTTCGGTTAAATAAAAATTTCAATTGCCAAAGTACATCCATTTTGAAATATAAACCATTTTCTTTTTTTAACTTATTCACGAATTTTATCAAACTTCGAACTGGCCATTGATAATATTTTGCTATTATAATTTTTATTCTATAAGCTATGTACTATTAAAATATCAGGATTGTATTCATATTCTCGAATAATTAAAAAGGCGCCAACTTATTCACTTTACATTTTTTTCTGCCGTATTGTATCCCTCTCCTCTTACTAGACACGTGTAAACCCCTTAAAAATTAATAATTAATTAGTAACCTGTATTTTCTAAATAATATAGTAAGAGGATTAGGTTTCTATTTACAAAATCATGGAAACGAATGAAATTGATGACGTTTAACTTTCAGATCAGAAGTTATTAATTGAGGTAGGCATAGACAATATTTTAAATACTGGAAATAAACAAAGTTGTTTCTCTTCCTACACATTCACATTACGCAATTCTTTTTGTTATCTTCAATATAGATTATATTAATTTTTACGTATAGAAAAAGGCAATTAGTGTCACTTAATAATGCATAAAAACAAATAACTCATTGTTAAAATATCAAACATTAACTCTTTGAGTCCTTTTTGTTAGTAATTGCATTCAATAGTGAAACTCAAATGAATATTGTTAATAAAGTCCATATTGTTCTATACTCAAAAGTAACTCTTGTGAGTGAATTATACATTTACAGACGCATGCATGATGTGAATTTGAAATATCATAACAAAATATAGTATAGTTGATGCGAATTCTACTGTAAACTGTAATACATTCAACTAACTCTAGACTAGTAGAATATTTAATTATTGGACCAAAAAGTACATTATTATTAACGATATAATTAAAATAACTTGAAATCATGCAATGAAATTGAATAACTATTGACAATATGTTATAACTTCCAAAATATAACAATGGCAGAAATCCATCACGTGATTATGCTATTTATGCTTGTTTTATGAGCACAACATATATAAAATTCCATACCTTTTTCTATACAAAATACATAAGCAAACAATTTTGAATGGCAAACCTTTATGAATGACAAATCGGTAAGTATACTGATTGACTTCATACATTCACACCTTTTTCTATACAAAATAACGTAAGAGAACATACGATATGGCGTTTGAGCAGGTAAGTCCGGCAGTATTCATATCCTCCCCCAGAGAGAGCGGGTCTCAATGAGGAGTTTTAAAAAAAATGGCATGTGTTTGAAGGACGAATCGGTACAATATAGTGATAATTTCACTCATACGTTGTGACTAATCTAACCTACAACAGTCTAACAAGTTCCGCACAACGGAAAATTATTTTTCTCCCCGCAACGGCTTATAATTATATCATACATATCTAAATGCGGGGAGAAAATATTTCATAAACTAAAAAAAAATAATTTCTAATGCTACATGGAACCTATATGGTGCAGGCCGTTGAATGCAGGCAAATCATGGAGGTAAACATATACTTTATAGACACAAAATACATTCAAATTAAGAAAATTTCAATTTTAACTATTATTTTCATATCTTATATTTTAGGTACGTGTGTTGTATGTGTTTTATAAAGAAATAATACATAGACTTTTTCTTAAGTAACATTTCATTTTATATAGAAATACCGATGCCCAACAGTGGGATGTTAGTATGTAATCTTGACAGAGATTGTGTCTATAAGTAATTCAGTTTAAATGAAAATATCAACGTTACAAGAGAGCGCAAAAGTAAACGTCACATGTCGGCAATTAAAGAGTAAAATTTTAAATCATTATTAGTTTACAGAGGAAAGCTTAGCTGATTGATAAAAAGATGAGTCTTTGTTTCTGAAGTGATTTTAATAGAAAATAAACAATTGAAGTATCTATGACATTCAGTGCTCTGTATATAAGGGGCAATCCGTCATTATTCAAGTTTAAATATACAGATTATTAAAAAAACAATGTCATCATTAATTATTAGTGCATTCTTGAATTATTTTTTCTAAATTATGTCATACATCATAATAATTATACGAATGTCACTAAAATAATATGGACAACATTGAATAAAAGAAAAAAATCATAATATTTGAATAAAATAAAATAAACATCAAATTTTTTTTCGAGTATTAAAAAATAATTATTGAAATCTTTTGAATGAAAAAAATAGAAATGTGTTTATAAACATCAAGTTTATGCTAAACTTTCCCCTTTAAACAAAATAATTATTTAAAAATCAAATCAAATACATAGAAAGCGTAAGTAAATATACAAGAAAACTGAATGATTCATATTACCGACACTAGTTAGAACAAGTCATGACTAAGCCATGGGGTGATAAAATTAAATCCCATACTTTAATATCCAAATAGATAATTAACACAGCTATATAGTCTGTATCATTCAAATTTATTTTTTCCGTATGAAAATTTCGTAGAAATGTCATTAATACCGTTATAGGATTCTGTGCCCAATTAAGAGAGAAATTCCGACGAAATAATATTAATTACACTTAAACAAAACGGCTAGCCAAGATGAAAAAATCATATACAAACTATTTTTATGTATATTACAATACATATTGTAGTAGTTTTAGATTTTGTATAAAATTTATAATTTTAGATATAAGTAAAATTATAACTGGTTTGTATATTGAATTCATAGACAAAAGGATAAGGTCATAAAGCTGTCTTGAAGGCTTGTATCTTTTTTTAATTATTTACTTGGATAACAAAAGTGCGAGTTAAATATAAAAATGCAAATGACTCGATTGGGACTTGTTATTGAGATCATTCTAAATGGCGTGTGTAAATTGAATTATATTGGTGTTGAAGGGATCTTAACGACATAATAACAGTAATATTCCCAACAAGTAGTCTAAACACGAGAAATACTACACATTTGGTTATAATCATGATTGTAAATTAAATTATTTAGGCCATGTTTATCTTATGACAGATCAACGACTTAAGTTTGTAACATTCGACACTAGATGGCGTTTTAATAAAATATCAGAAGAACATATACAAATTAGAATAATTAGCGACGACGAGTATAAAATAAAACAAGTAATCCTTATAAGGATGGTAAGCCAGTACAACGCCGTCGCTAATGTCACAATTTGTATGAAGCACGATACTAAAATAATAGTTCACAAAAATGCCAGTATTTCTCGACGTCAAACAACAACATAACTTTAGCACCTGTAAAATAACCGCCAGTCATGTAAGCAGACAACTACAAAAGTTTAAACGTAGAAGCAGATTACCGTCCTTACTTGTATCACAACCAACACGACTTATTTCCAAACGCGAACACTAGATGGCGTTTGACTGTTTCACACAACGTTACATAGATGGCGCTATTTGATAATTATCACGTCAAAACTTTAAAGTGCAGTATTCATTTAAAGTAAAGAAGCGATAATTTTCAGTGTATTAAAAATGACTAGTTGCACAATATTATAACTTTACCTCGGTTGTATCAGTCTCTCAAGCTAAAATTATTATATAGTACACCATAACAACCGCCACTGGTTCACGTGTAGTCGTGTCCTGGCAGGCACCTTCAAGATTCCACCGTCACTATGATACCGATATAACTTCATGACCCGGTCTCGCTTGCGCTGCCCGCGGCCACGACTGGGACGTCAGCTGGCCAACGGAGAGGGGGTTGTTTGCGTCTCTAGGGTTGGTCCCTACAGGGTTGCGGGGAGGGTTTGGTGGGGGGTCTGAAGCTGGGGATGCTAGTGAAGATAGCGCACTCAGCCCTCCAGGACTAGAGGCGGAATTGAGAGGCGTGTCGGCGTCGCCATCGCTGGACGCGTCCGACATTTCCTCAAGTTTCACGTCTTCTTCAGAACATGGTGACTGCGGGGTCGCCATCGGCATTGGGATGGTGCCGGAGGCCGCTGCCAGGGCTTCCATGTAGCGTATGCATTTTTTCTTCCGCCTATAAAAACAAACACATTATAAGCTTTACCGCCAAAATAATTGTTATATATTTTCATAATCTTGGTAAATAAATAAGCACATTTAAAATACTAAAATTTCTAATACCCCGTTTCCACATTAACATATACACATATATATAATATTATATTATATAAAACTCTACAATTCGTCCATATATGGCAACAAAAAAAATAAGTGTAAGAAATATGTATAATAGAAATATTTAATTAAAATCAATAATACATGCATAAGACACGACTATGTTTCAAGAGCTTAAAACATATCTTCACTTAACACAAAGTGAACTCAATATTTAGAAATTTTGGACAACGACTTAAGGGTAAAACCTTAATGTAAATTTTCCAAAATTTCTAAATTTGGAGATAAATCAGTTTAGTATTAAGCTGTACTGATATGTATGCAGTACAAGTCTACAGACAATAATATAAAAGTATCAATGCCTATACAAAATTTCGTATAGCTGACACATAAGAAGTTATTGTGGAAACGGCAGCTGTATTGATATAAGAGCAACTAAACATTATAACAAGATTATGAAAAGAACATTTAACTAATAATAACATTAATCATGGGCGTACCCAGTTCCTAGCCCAAGGGGAGACGTCGGAGAGACCATTCAGATTTGAAATGCTTCTGCACAGAAGGAAATGAGCATTCGATTTTTAATATAACATATATTAACCCAAACAACTTTCAAAGGGACTATTGCTCTGACTATCCCCTGCGCAAATCTGGGTACAACCATGACACTATTATAACCTACTTAAGAATAAACACAGATAAAAAACCATAAATCAAAACGTTAAATTGAAAACTCCATGCTGAAATGTTAAGACGTTACTATGGAAACGTAGTTAAAGCACTCTGAACACAATAACGGTACACTCATGCTTAATTGCCTAATGTTAACTCGTAAGAAACTTGGAGCATCACCAAAGCAGAGAATTTTAAAGTTTTTGTCATACATACTAGTGGTCGCCCAATGGTCGAAATTCAACTATAATTAATTTATATAATTTTAACATTATTAAGGTTTTATTGTCATAGACTATGCTTCTATGCGTGTGTGTCAAATATATGGTAGTGTATGTAATCTTTTTTTTATTGATTTACTATATTTTTATGCATCATTTAAATAAAATAATATTCTGCTCTTCTCCTATATGCTCCTAAACTATTAATATGACAAAATCTCATATTAATCCATCAGCGCAATTTTCGTAAAATGGGGTACAAAGTTTTAGCTTCACGTGTATTAATTAATGCATATACGCAATATATTTATGCATATAATAAAATTGTAATTGAAAAGAAAACTACTAGAGGTCTCTATTAGACCACGAAGGGCTAAATTAAGAACAGTTTATACAAATGTGTGCCTGTCTCTATATTTGATCACATATCACGCAAAAACTAATGTAGGAAAAAATCTTTTTCTTTGCCTAATCTGCACCCTACAACCGATTCCCATCTTACATAGCAAGCTGCTTAGCGGCTGAAATAGGTGAGACTGAGGTACCCACGCAGACAACTTTTTATAAAGTCATATATTTATATGAGCATATATACTAAGTGACATGACTCATATTATGAACAAGTAACATAATGTACTCGTAAGTGGTAATTAGTGGCAACAATTCCGCCATTATTAATGAGTTATTATATATATTACGTCATCAACACATCTTTATAGTATAAAATGATGTCGTATCCGCGGTCTGTTTGCTTTGATCTTTTAAACTACATAACGGATATTAATGCAGTTTTTAGCAATAGATAGTGGTTCAAAAGGAAGGTTTATATGTATAATAGTTTTCTGTAAATATAGTGTTTCAATCTTTTATTGTTATTTAAGTATCTGATCTCGTGACTTAGTGGCATGTGGTGTATTACAAAAATATTTGATGAAATGAAAGACTAATCTGTGTACACCGATACCCAATCAGCGAGACTGTTTCTCAAATTAACGAGCACAAACAATCTAACAATCGTTGCTTTGATTTTTGTTATGTCGCTAAAGTAATTTTTCTCATATATCTTACACACAGCATTTTTATTACAAGTATATGTAAATTCAGAGAGTTTACGCATAGTGGTTTGCTACTCGGATTTGAACCGAACTATCGTGAGTTCTAATATGGCTGGCACAGCTACAAAAAAAAAAAAACTGTTGATAATTTATAATTTTAATGTCTTTTTTGATGGAAATATTGATATCAAATGATTTTTCTAGATTATCAAGTAATCTGATGGTAAACTATTGTCGTAGCCTATAGACGCCTGAAACACCAGAGAAGTCGCGTACGTTTTGTTTTCAGAAATTAGTGTGTCTAACAGAGGTACGCTCGTTTGCTATATTGGATACACACATACAGTGAAATGTGGACACGTCCAAGTGTTGAATTCACGAGACAAAATCAACAGTTTACAATATCTATCTACGTCTAACTTCTTCATTTGAGATGAAAATGATGCAGATACATTTATGTTTGTTACAGTCAAGAGCGAAAAATTGTCACACAAGTCTCGTAGCTTTGGTGTGTCTCCATAATAAACGAATAAGGGTGCTCACACATAAGTAGAGTCACCCGGACAACTCGCGCCGACGACTCGCGTTCGATCCGGCGCTATTTCGATATGTGTCAATCGAACGAGACTCGTCGGTACGAGTCGTCCGATCGTCTCAAACATGTGAGCAGGCTAATATAATAAGCAGACATCTACTCGCACCTACAACAATAAAACTAAAAACCATTCCAGTAATTCAAACAAGTCACTCGTTCATACAAATATTCGAACGTTCACAACTGCGATCTGTTGGCGTTGGATATACTGGTCGATTTACATTTTGTTACATAAAATATAACTATTTTCTTTGCTAGAAAAATAACTTTAAATGTTAACAAAATTAGTGTAACAGCAACCTAAAAATCAATCTATCAAATTAAAAAATAATTTATCCATGTAGGACATTTTAGACGCTTATGATCGTCTTTTTTTTTTGTATAATATTTCTTCCTCTAACGTCCAGTTCAGTATACAGATTCAATTTAGAAGAACTGGCGAGAAAATCAATAGATTTTTTTTAAAATAAGCCAGTGGAACTAAATTGTTTTCTTATATAGGTCTATGTCTAACATTAAATGAAAAACCTGAGCATGAACCACTATTGCCATGCCCGCTCGTCATTCAAATAATTGTTTAGGGTATAATAGGCTCTGTCCAGTAAATATGAGTTAACAGGTGCTTTGAATTTATTTGAGAGTGACTCCAGTATATATTTAAACATACAAAGTTGTGTGCATAACAGATGTGCACACGCTTCCGTGATGTATTGAATGTAATAACACTTAATAACAATATTAGTTATTGTTGTTATTGTCTTTTTCGATGACGTAAAATTATTAAGTTTCTTTATTCAAGCACACGGCCCATCTAATGGGAAAAGATTACCGTAGACTATGGACGCATTAAACACCATTAAGTATAGCTGATGCTTTGATAGCTTGTCTATTTATCTGCTTATAAAAATTAAATTAGAATCAAGAAAGAAGATCAAGAAAACACGTAGTCTTACACTAAAAAAATAAATATAATAAATGAATAAGCACAGAAATGGCTAAGACTAGTCTATTTCTATGATTATTCATTTTTAATGTTTTTTAATTGAATCTAATGATGTATCGACATTAATAGATTCAATTGGTGATCGTTGAGCTACTATTAATAAAAAGACATCCATCGAACTACAAGGCAACTAATCAACACCAACACATTTCTACCATCGTTTCATCATCACTAACTGACCGTGGGTCGTCCTTCGGCGGCGACGGGCCGGCACTAGAGGTTAACGTATGTTGGCTCCTGCGGGGGGCTGCCGACCAGGCTGGCGGGGGGGAGGGGGGTCGCCGGCTCTGGTCGGAGCAGCCCTAACCCTCCAGATACCATTACGCTACTTGATTCGGGGCTATTATTGCCCAGGTTAGAAGGAAATGTAGATGTAATATTTATGATAGAGAATATGATTGTAAAAAAAGAAATATTTAATATGTTTGTTACGGAAAATAAAAATAATAAGGACAAAGGGATATACAATAAAGTAATAAATCAAGTAATAATAATATGAAAGGATTGAGATAAGAGTAGAGAATGTCAAGTAGCGTTTGGTAGTAAGAATAAAACAAAAACAATGGAGCATAATAAACAAGTAATGTCACCGGTAGTGCCAGCCGAATGCAGCATCGATCCGTGAGAAGCGGCAATCATGAGTGGAAAAAACATTTCAATAAGTATACAATATACCTTTACAATGTTTACAATAAAACACATTAATTAGAATCACCAATAATTTAAAACAAAAAAGCGGCGAACAATTCAGAAAATGTGTCAAGATTTTTTTGAAAGCTTGTCCATCGACAAATGATTGCCCTTTCTCTATCCACTTCTATTTCTCTGCTATTCTATATCCTATGTCACTACTAAATCACTCATTGTCTACTTTCAAAAAAATCTATTCCGTGACATCTACGTATTTGGACTTTATTTCTTTGTGAAAAGACACATTTTCTGAATCATTTACTGCTTTCGCTCTTTGCTATTCTTATATCGCTAAAAAAGAGCGTAGATATTGTTTCGAATAGAAATATAAAACAAAAAACACAACATCTACAACAGTTTTTGTTTAAAGAAAATAAAAATAAATTCAAATTGTACGACTAGGCTCCTCATGGACTTGCCGTAGAAAAAGACTAAACGATAAGCCAAGTCTTTCCACATAGAAACAATATTTTTATTAAAATCAGAAATAAGAGCAACTAACAATAATATAGAATATTGACGCGGAATTTATAAGAAAATTATACTAGAAGCGAAATAAATAAAAATATTAATGTAAAGTAATCACCTGCAAGGTTTGCACCATTGGTTTTGTTGGTCGAGGCCATACCTCGCTCGGCATTTCTTCAAATTATTTCCTGGAAGTTGCACAGAATAATGTTAGCAGACTAGACTTTCAAACATAGATTATAGAACTTGAAAATGAAAATTATTTTTAATTTCAAACTGTCTCTTTAGCAAATTAAAATTATGATTGCAAATCAATTATTTTTATGTTCAAGATAACATTTAATAAACTACATTAATAAAACATACGATGTCTAGTAAATTGTTAATAATCTCGTATAATATTTTAAAAAATATTGCGAATGTCGGTTTATTAGTAAAAATTAATTTACCGGAAATCATACTTGAAGCATCTTAAAATAATGTAACTAATACCACTAGTAACTACGAAAAAGCACGCATGCACCAAACCCCTCAAACATGTTAGTTTCATGCATATATCAGGACTAAGGATAGGACAAAAGAACGGAATGAAACGGAAAAAACATTGGTTTTAAAATAACATACTACACGCATAAACTTTCAAAATAATAACTAACTACGCTATTTGGAAATAAACCACAAATAAAGATGTCGCTTATAAGCAAAATTTAAGCAGAATAGGTTCTCCGGAATCAAAATAAATCAAGTTCATTTGGCCAGTATCATTAAACACCGCAGACACAGAAGCATCAGCAGCTTTGTTGAAATCAAAATGTCTATCGGTACATCGGCATGGTCCTCTCACTCCTCGTATGAGTGGTCATGGCTCGGGGTCTTCTCTGATGTACCGTGCGTGGGTAGTTGCGTCCTCCTTGTCATGCATACAGTTCCTTATACTCCTTTGCGTACTTTAAATACCATCTCGAGAAGGCTGTCCCAGCCTTTCACTGAGCACATGTTAATAATAATCCCTGCAAAGCAATGGCTCAAGTGTTCAAATAACTGACTCATGAATAAAACATGCACGCTCCCCAAAATCGTAGGCGGCACTTCGGGCAGAATGGTAAGCCAAAAACCGGGACAACCTTCGAAGGAGTGCCACTTACATCAGGGTATTTCGATAAATAGCGTTTGTAATTACAAAAAAAGAAATAAATAAATGCGATAAATATTTAAATAAAAAATACTGGTATACTTCTACAACCTGTACCCCAACCATAGACATTCGGCAATATTACTGACGATCGGTCTAGAGTTCAAAACAATTGAACTCACGCGGGGGAGGCAGGACATAACGGGTGAGGGACGAGGAACAACGAACGTCTCCAAGCTTAATCCTTCATTAATTGACCTCATTTCTTTTAATGAGACGCACGAGTTTATCGTCCGTAGTAATCGTTACGCGTACGAGTGCGATCGACGAGACGTCCGTTGCTCGGGAGATGTGTGGGCATCGTGGCCGAGTGCGATACGGTGGAGCGCGCGATGCGATCACAGCATTAATGGGAAGGGATGATGACTCGATAAGCGGGACGCAGTTGTCGATGGAGTGAAAGGCAGTACCTCCATCGGTTGTCTCCTGTTTTCGCTTCCTCTTCTTGCCCCTTTGCGTATTAGCCCTAGACGACCAATCGGGATAGAGCTGCATATGCAGCTGGCGTTCCCGGCGCGCCAACTCGTAATACTTGGCTTGCTCCTCGCGGCCAAGTGCATGCCACTGATAATGGAACCGCGCCGCAATATGGAAAGAAAAGAGAAATGCACTTCGACGATGGGTCACTCGGAATCCGCGCGTCCCTACGCTGGTGCTAGAAAAACAGCCCGCGTGAGCAGCCCTCGATAAATTTTGATCCTACTATAGAATGAGAATGGCCAATTGTGTGACGTTCCTCACAGAACCTATTCTGCGGTCGGTATCGGAGTCGCGGCTGGTCTATACATATAACAAACCAATATAGTTTCCGATAGGGGTGTAGGGTGTACAGCACGGTCACTCGACGACTACAGTACACAAAACACGAAACAACTAGCCGGCGCGAGGCGGCGCGCGGTGCGGACGACGTAGAACACGCGCGACGTCGCCGACACGTCACCGACCCGTCGCCGAGGCGTCGCCGCGCCGTCGCCGCGCCGCGCCGAACAACTCCGACTCGTGAGCAACGGTTCCAGCCGCTTTTCTAGCACAGGCACCGCCGGCGCCGCGGTACATGACACACGTAACAGTTGAGTAACACGCACACACGCACACTCACATACGGGACGGATCGGGTATCGGATGCTCATGTTAGTGTGACAAGCCGGTCCTGTGTCGCCCGGGCCCCGGGTGTGGGTCGGCAAGCAAGAGTCTCCTCGGGCGGGGCGATGTTAGTGCGAGGGGAGTCTTGCTCGATTCCAGGGAGGGACAGTAATGGGACAGTGTGGGGTGAAGCGAGTGTACAGAAGCGTCGACGTGACAACCCAGCCCCTCGCGTGTCGGGTACAGTCCTAGGGTCCAATACCTCCCAGCTCAGCGGGACTGCGGTCCTTTTTCCGTTTTTTCTTTTTGGAACCGTAACCGTAGTTGTCCCTTGCGCTCCAGCCGGGGTACAGCTGCATATGGAGCTGTCTCTCCTGTCTCGCTTTCTCATAGTACTTTGCTTGCTCCTCGCGACTCAAGGAATGCCACTGTGTATTATGACACCAGGATATTGCGTTACCATCGGTCGTTTCCACATCGACGACCACATCAGACGATAAAACGGTTTAATCCCGTTTCGTATATTCCCGATTTGGTTACTTACTTATTAATTGTATGAAAATAAATTAATTCCAATATAAAAATGATACTGGAGATATTTCACGGATGCGTATTTTATTGAATTTACTCATATATATTCTGCATTTTATTTCAAACATAAAAGCTATTCGTAATTTAAAAGTTAAACTCATATCAATGCATTTATCTTTTAATGTCTGCATAGTATCGTATATATTGCGGACGTTAGAAGTTATTCTGTAATCACAAACATAAACAAAAAGTACCAAATGAGAATAAACGAAACTGGACAATTACTTTTGGAACTGAACATCTGTGATTACAATTACAAGTCATGAATATGATACGTTAATCTTGTTAGGAATTAGATTACATTCTCGGAACAGCCATCGGGTTCGATTCTTAGTATGAAACACTATTGTCAGCGTATTCTTCAAGGCATCTAATACACAAGGCATAAATATGATTGTCTTATAAATTCATAACAAGATAAAACACACAATTAAAAATAGAACAAGAATATTGGCCACTTTAATTTAAAATAAAAAAGTATATGTTTGAATCGTTAATTTCGTAGTGTCAACTAAAAAGGTTTAAATTATAAAATGTAAATTAAAAATAAATATTTAGGAATACATAATTTGAATTTGAATTTCGAACTCACCCGTCTGCCAAGTATTTGGTTGATGGCCGCGGATTCCTTGAGCGTGCACTCGGCGACCACTTTCGCCCTCATTTCTTTCATGTACAACATAAAGGCGTTCAGTGGCTTTTTTATGTGAGGTTTCTTGTTCTGTTCTTTGTTGTTGCTGTTTGCTGAACTTTCAGCTGGTTTCTCGTTCGCACTGCCGCTGCTGCCCTTCTCTAATGACCTGTGGGTTTTAAACGAATTGAAATTTAAACTGAGAACGTTGTGAACTAGAGGTTATCCATATAGGTACAAAAATAGGTTCATTATTTGTCAATATTTAACAAGAGGATTGCAAGAAATGGTTATTGCTGTATTAAGTCAGGTCTACTCTGGAAACTATTATTGGTGAATTCGCCACAATGGGCTGACTGAACTGACTTCACGCTCTTCCTTCAAAATCCATTAGAAAAAATATGGATGACCAATTAATAAAAGATGAAATGTTGACACAAATCATTTCTAATCATGTATGAGTTTGATCTAACTCATACATCAATATGTTAATAATAAGTTTAGGTGTTAACGACACGAGACGACAATAAACACACACGTCCTGTTGGAAATAGACGCGTGTTTCCGGCGATGGACAGACAGATGTTTCCACTTCAGTATTTAATGAACCTAAAACATACTGCCTATAAGGTACATAATACTTTGTTTCCCAAACAAGATAATTTGTGTTACAAACTAGAAAACACACTTAATCTTACGTACATAGTATTTAAATTATCTTGTTTTTAATAAAAGATTTGTTTGTTTTATAAAGAAATAAGGTGGTTATTGCTTTAGTTATTGGGTTTATATTGGATTATTTTATATGAAAAGATTGAAAAGTGTAATGGTAACATTTTATTTGTTTGAGGTAATAATGTTATTAAAAACAGAATAACTCATTTTATATATCGGGAACTATTTCTAGATTTGGTAATGAACCCAATTTTTATTTATAATTTATGAAAAGTACGATCTTAACTGTGACTAACATAGACACCGTTAAGATAAATTTCATCTTTAAATTAAATTTAGCCCTTATGGAATGTGCTTAATAGATAGTCAAACATTTGTAAGTGTATATTAAAAGTGCTATAATTTTTTTAACCTTACAAAATCTATACAATACAAATATTTCTGTTTGCTGTAAATGAAAGAAATATGTATATGAGAAACTATTACTGTACTTTTTAAGATTAGTTAGAGTAGAATTTGTGTCTGTTATCCTGTTCTTTTGCGGGCGCTAATCTCAGAAACGGCTCTACCAAGTTATGAGTATTTTTCACTAGTATACTGTAATATACTTAAAAATATACGAGGACGAACTCGCGGACTCAAATAGTATTGAAATACACGACTGTATTTTATACGAAATAAAAAAAACAAAAGAATACTGAAAAACGACTTCCTGAAACACGTAACTGAAAATAGAACCTATAAACTGAGGTGTCACCGGCAGCGACACTATTTAATATGTCCAATATAGATTTTTATACAGTAAATTAGTTCCGAGAATCGAGTTAAATAAACGACTTCCTCCAAGAGCCGTTTAAAAATGGGAAAATATAAAAAGAGCGCTGCGTGCAGGGTTGACAGTCTTCAAACATTTACGGTTGTATGAAGAAAATTTGTATTTTTTTTTACTTCCATGGTGGCACACAAGCTTATTGTCCATAAGATGATAAAGAGTTACGTCACGCTCGCGTTGCCGATCTTTAAAAAACCTTAATATACCCTTCTTGAAAACCCCATGCTGTAGTCTCGCAAGAAAATCTCGACAATCTAAGTGTATGTGTAAAATGTCGTATTGGTTCAATTTACCTGTCGGACCGTTATAGTATTTTAACCTATTTTCGTAGGTCCAAATCTCGTAGAAACTTGTATTAAAGTGAAACTGTCCTCGTACCAAAGACTAAAAGTTTCTTTTATTGTCGTACGGTTGGCATCCCTGGCTGGGTATTATGCGCCCGCGCATACGCCACCAAACGAGGTATTCAGTGGCGCACAGTCAGTAATTATGTGTTATGTACTGTTCGCATACCAAACTTGTATATATCTTTATTTATCCATACGCTGTATTTCGGCATGACATCTTAGTCTTTTGAAATGGCAATGCATAAGTGGTTTTTAATGTGTGATATTGGAGTGGTGCACCTGCCTACGCAAACGCTGGCGGGGCACCAGTGGAGGATGATGTCCGTCACTTAGCCCATCGTGATGAATTCATAAAGAATTTAATACCATGGTTTCCAGGTGGAACCGCGTGAACGTCAACCTGACATTATGCATTGCTTGCTATAGGGTCGCTAGTCCCCATTACTGACCCCTTCCCCCCAATACATGAATGGTATCACGGATGTTACATGCTAACGTGATGTACGTAGGAGTGATAGCGTGATACATATAGGCGACGGTTACCGTACAATACGTGGGCCGTCAGGTCGTTTGCGATTCCAATAACATAAAATATATATTGAAGTAAATAATTAAAATTTTATTTTATTAAAATATTTTAATGAATATTATTAATAAAACCACAGGCACCATATTGATTTGAATATTAAACCCGCACTCAATACTAAACGTGTTAAACGAACATATTTCTGTCTTAATCAAATGTTATTTCGCAGCGGGACTCTAATGAGAATCGGTGATGAACACTATACATGAAAGATTTTATAGGTTCTAAAGCGTATCCATACTTATATTATAAATGCTAAAATGTGTCTGTCTATTTGTCACCTTACTACGATCATAGGCGAACGGATCCTAATTAAATTTAGTATTGTATCAAGATTTGTGTAGATGTCTAAATAACCTTTGTGATATAATTTATCTTTATTTTACATTTCATTCAGCTGTTTCGACAGACTCTCGCATTTGTAATACTAGTTATTTGCCACTCCTTCGTCTACCTGTTTAATGTAATTGTAGCTTATGCTCTTCGTCGCGATATATACGCCTTCGTGGTAATCTATTTTCATTTTTAATTTCCTTTAGATCCGTATAGTGATCAAAAAAATTATAGACAGTCAAACGCACTTTCGAATTCATAACACATATGAATTTAAAATTCACTCTATAAATACTATTTGACATTAATAGAACACGAAATGATTTAATATAATGCTCCAATGAACGAAATCATATTTAAATGTAGCCTACAATATTGATGGCGACAAAATATTTGTAAAAAAATAAAAAACCATGATTTAATAGGCGTCAACGGTGATTTATTTTATTGAATTTTTACAAGAAAAATCAAATCAACGTTCATTTTATGTTTATTTCAAAAAACAATTCCGTATAGTAACGATAAATCGTTAAAGCGAAACGGACTAACCGACATTGTGTCGTTTGCATACATCTTGAATCCGGTTTGTAGTGTCATATAAAAAAATACCTTAAAAATCTGTTATTTTTTGTTGCTGTCTGTACGTCGGTTGCCCGTTAACCCGTGGCGTCTCATATATCATCTTAATTAAATTTCTCCTCGAAGCTTATTTACATGATTGTACCTGGACTTTAATGTATAAAAAATTGGGTATGGTGTCAGTATGAGCGATGACAAGTAGAGACATTAGCACGGGCGTGCTCAGCTTCTGACCCAGGGGAGCATGCCAGATTTTATAGCGCCGTTTTTTTAAAGTTAATGCGTAATGTTTTGTAACACATACAATTTTCAGGGAGGGATGGTAGTTGGTCCAAAATTAGAGGAGATATCGCGTAATAACATGTATCGCGTAATAATGGAGAAGATTGCTTCTCCATCTCTTTTTCCAAGGCAGTGTAAAATCGTGAAAAAATATTGTACTATTCAGATTCCATGACAACAAACCTGTGTTTAACAATAAGTTTTTGTTTTTGTTTTAAAGAAGTTTTTGTACATTTAATCTTAATTACAAGTCGGCTTCACACGATGCTTTTATTATTTAATGTATCTCATTTTTTATAAATGAATAGTCGTAGTTGTCTCTGATATTGTAAAAGATTTTCAAAATAGGTGATATGTTTTTAGGGTTTATCCAATCAAAAAAAAACAAATCTTTCTTCTTTGTATTAATATTAGATATATTAAAATTAATTATACTACCCGCTCTAACTGGCTACCCAACTCCACCTGTACCACGTATTCGTTTGACTGATGCATTTGTAAAGCGTTGAAAAATATAACATTACAGTATTCTCTTTTAAGTATATGAACATGTTAAATGACAGTACGACTGGTTGGAAGCCATGCAGTTACGTGGCGTAAATGGAAACGTTTTGCTAGTTTTTGTCTAAATGGTGTAAAGTTACATTTACATTTTTTATGTCGTCTAATCGTATGTTACGGCCCATCTCCGAAACTGAAAAAATGATTATGATTTTTACATTGAATATAGCTTATTAGCGTGTTAATCCAATAAAGACATGTAAAGAATGGGATCGTCTTAGCTTATTTTGACAATTGTGATAATACCTAGAATTTATACTAAATATATAAGACATTTTTTATATCATAAAAAATTTTTTGGACATCTGCTAAATACCACTTTAATATTTATCATCAATCTCCATCAACGAGGGGTGGACATTGCACGGCTAATGGGCGATACCATCTCGCTATCCAGTGAAGGGATCTGGCACTAACAATAGAGGTATACAAACGTTTTATTGAAACTATTTTGAACCCCTATTATTATGAAAATTGTGAGTTTATGCACGCTCCGTGCAGTAATAACAGGCACGTGTGTGATACATGTACGAAAGTGTTAAGTATAACCGGTATAATTTTAAAGAATTATTATATAATATAATAACATTAAATTTCAAACTTTATGTTAACACTAGCTGGGCCGGCGACTTCATCCGTGTGGAATAGTGACCTTGACCAAATAAGGAAAAACATTTAATAAGTCTAGCCCAAAAAATACAAAGAAAAAGTTTCAAAAACGACGAATTTCCTTATAGACATCACCTATTTTATTTTACCCTTAAAGGTAAAATTTTCATAAACTTTAAACGTCATATTTATGTATATTTAATCAACACTACAAAGTATTCCATTCAATGTTTTACCTCCTCTTTAAATCCCTTATACTCCATTTTTCGCAATAAAAAATAGCCTGTGTCTTTTCTCAGAGTCTAAAGAAATTTGGTGCATAGATAATGCACCAAATTTCTTTAAATTAGTTCGGGAAGTATAAAATAACTTACCTCGCATACCGCGAATGGTGGGAGTCGAGGTCTGCTTTGGAGGAGGGCGGCGGAACCAGCGCTGGCCCTAGACCTAAGCCCAGGCCACCACCTAGCGTTGGTGAGAACCTGTACAATTCACTGAAAAAAAAAAATAATATTAATCACGCACAATCCAGATGAGAGGCTAAAATGCGGTGAATAGAGTCCTTATTACAATAAATTAAACTTTTTATAGATCAAGGTTTACATGTTACCAGGTTAGCGTGGATACTTCAGTCCGTTGTAAGTTGCAGATTAAGCAGTGATAAGCAGGGATAAGCGTCACAACATCTTTGAAAATGTATCGTTTTTCAAGAGGTTTCATAAGATTCGGGAACACGCACGTGACACCCCTGGTGTTTCAGGCGTCCATAGGTTACGGCAACCGTTTACCATCAGAATGGTCGTATGCTTGTTTGCCAACGTCGTAGTATAAAAAAAATATATATCTATGGAAGTAATTTGTGGACAGTTTTTAGTTAGTATGATGATAGAAGCTGATGATCGTCACCAGGATTTTTGAGACGAAGATTCCATGGATTCACTGTATGGGAGACGGGTCCATTGTGTAATATTTAATAAATTAATTTTATTTAAGTTTAGTTTAATTGATTAAAGTAAACTAAATTAATGTTACCTAACATGTAATGTTGCCGATACTATATTCTTTATATGTAATTTCACATATTTCACAAACAAATAAATGATATAAAGAACTGAACGTTAATTTAATTCCTAACTTTATATATTAATTATTACTTGTTTAAATTATGAATTTACTACCTCGATAGACTAGAACTTGGGATCGGCAGCGAGGTGGGGTACGGACTCCGGAAACCGCTCGCCGCTGACGATATGGGGTACATGCTCGGGGTATGCCTGCAAAATTAATATTTATTGAAGCCATGTAACAAAATATGAGATGAATAAATGATATAAAAAACAGGTTCGATATAAAAAAAGACTGCAGAATATCTTCAAACGCAATATATCATCATCATCATCATCTGCTTCTTCCTTATCCCATTTATTTGTGGTCGGCGTAATATGTTTTTCGCTTCCATTCATCCCTGTTCGCAGTCATCGCGTTATTTACTTCGTTTCTTACCATATCATCTTTCACACAGTCCATCCATCTCTTTTTCGGCCTTCCTCTGCCCTTATAACCATCCACCATCCACATTCCACATTCATTTGTAACACCTTTCTTAAAATATTATCCTCGTTCCTACGCATTACATGTCCATACCATATATGGTTATAAAATTTGATGGTTTCGGTGGTCTAGAGGTTTAGTACTTTCAATGGTCTTAAGTTCGATTTTCATACGGTACAAACATTTATTTCCATCAGTATTGTTTGTATAGGTCTGGGTGTTTTACATGTATTTATATATGTCTTTACAAAAATCATGTATTTAGGTATTGATTTTAATTATCTACTATTCATAACATAAGCTCTTGGGATTACATGGCGCTGTGTGGATGGTCCGGGGCATTAAAAAAAATAGGTAGACTGTTCAAATTGTTTGTGTTGGTATATGTGTGTCCCAGATATTTCAGCCTCTAAACACCATACAATCTTTGTGTCGGTAGAAGGGTGAGAGATGGCAGTAAAATTACAAGGCACGGAGGCATGAAACCTTAGTCGTTCGGAATGACAAAGAATGATACCATTGCACTGGCCTAATGTTCAAGTGGCAACTTACCACATACCGTTAAGTTATTTGCTAGTCCAGCTATATAAAAAAATCAATACATACCACGACGCTGCTACTTGTGACATCTCCGGACTGAGCATGGGGTAAGGGTACGTACCCCCGGGAAAAGGGTACATGGGGGTTCTCGCCAGACCTGCTGCTGTAACAAAATAATTAGGTTATAGAATCATAATTACAATCATAGGTAATAGTAGCTACTACTAGCGCATGCTTCACATTCTCTCGTTTTTGCTACATCTTACAATGCAGCCCCGCTCTTACTGGTCGTAGCGTGATGTTATATAGTCTATAGACATCCTCGATAAATGGGCTATCCAACACTAAAAGAATTTTCAAAATCGGTTCAATAGATCCAGAGTTTAAACCATACAACATCAAAAACTCATAAATTTTAACTTTTTATAATATTAATATGAATATATGATAGTCTCGGTGATCTTGCGGTTTAGCATATTATAGTAGTATAATTTCTACTACTTAGATAGTACTTGGTTTTATTCCTCGCAGCATTCAATTTAAGTATTGATGAGTATGATTGTTTGTATTGGTCTAGGTGTACCTACTCTATGCATACGGTGAACTTATTTACAAAAAAATATGTATTTAAGTATTCTATCACTTGTCTTATACACATAATATAAGTTTAACTTGTGAATTGTGTAAATATATTTGGATGGGTTGCCATATTATCATGTATAAACTGAGTGTTTATTATCTACAGCACTATCTAGCTTCTGTACATTATATATTCTTGCATAAAAACAAAAATTTTTTCCAATTTGTCTAACTAATATTTAATAAAAAAATTACATAGTGATTTTATATTTTATATCTGACGTGACTTACCTAACTTGGAGTCCAGTTGGTAAGGCGGGGGGATGCCCATATGGGCTGGAGGTGGTTGCCCAAGATCACCTCCAGGACAAAATAATGATAGACCGCCTCCCGCTGGCAAACCCATCTTGCTGGTCTGTAACAAAAAAAAATGCAATTAGTAAAAATTGTGAAAAATAAAACTATTAGTAAAACAATTTCAAAAATAATAAAAAAATATTCAAATAGATGATGTGAGATTGCAACTACAACAACAACAACAGTTTAATAATCCTGTGGACCTATATTGAAATTTTATAATACCAACTTTTCATATTTGACGCTATCATATATAAAAGTGGTGTTACTGTGTTTAGAAAAGAGTACCAGAGTATATTAAAGATTTAGAATTTATTTTAGGACGAATTTTAGCATACTTGTAGATTTGATGTATATAATCAATGCAAGCTATATCAATATAAACTTCATATTAATATAGCTTCATTGATTTAATTATACAGAAGGAGACATTAAAATTCAAATTAACAGAGAGCACAAACTATATAATCTCTATTTCGCAATGGGAACAAAGAAGTAAACAAAAACAAACCCGACACCCGAATTGAAATAAAGGTGGAGACAAAAACCAACTAGTCTATAGAAGCGTCATTAGCAAGTAAATTGGCGGGCCCGTATAAATTTCGTTCTACCCTCGACTCGCAATTATGCAAAATGGCGCCACCGAGGGCCATTCACAACGCGTACTTCCGAGCAGAGAGTTTCACCTCTAATTAACTGGGAATTCTTTTTAACACTATTATTCGAAAGCTACATTGACGTGAATCGCAAATATTATAAACATCTGTAACCCTGTTTCAATATTACAGTGAATGAATGTCGCGTACTGAACTTAATAATAAAAAAAACTGGTACCAGGAAATTTCAGTAAAAATTTAAATAAAAATTATTATAAAAAAGAAAGCTTGTGACTATTAACATTTATTTCTTAAATACTACTACAAATTAGAAGAAATTTACAAGTCAAATAAGTAATTACAATTAGTAGCACGTTGGTCAAACATAACAAGCGTCTTTTGTATGCAAGTGGACCTAACTAAAACCAGTTTTGAAAATCCCGCATCGTTCCAAACAATTAAAAAATTAAAAAGGGCTGACAATCCCTTCACCACTCGTCCATATTTCGAGCAGGAACTACTTATTAAGACAATAATTACCACGGACAAAGAAGCCTCACTAATTAATAATAAAACACGCACAAACAAAGCACTCCATTCACGCTCGGGACAGCTTAAAAAAAACAAAAAGAGAAAAAATAACTGAAACGGTGGTCGAAAAATCTCGACATGCGAGGAGGAACAAAAAGAATCCATAGACAATGATGGCAGTCGAGACGCATAATGCGGGAGCAGCGCGTTCTTAATTTGAAAATATTTCCATAATAAGATTTGTCTATGGCGCGACCGGTTGAAACAAAAGACGCAGCAGCTCGCTTTGTTCAATTCACTGAGCGTAATAATTCAAAAATTAAAACAAGCAATTAGATAGAGTTATTAAAGGAGCGTTATGACCTCGCAAATTATTAGCTAAATAAGTTTTCTACTTGAAACTTGTAACTTTTGCTCGCCTTTTCAGTTCCGCGTGTACATTGAGAAGGTTCCTAATGAAGGTGGGTCTTCAGTGAAGTACTCGCCTATTGACGGAATCACTCGAGAGGGTAGTTATTGAAACCGCATGAAAGCGACGAGTGACGTCACAGGCACTCGAGCGACAAGCCCCAGTCGCTAATTGGAACTCGCGACGATAGGACGCGAGAAACGTTGCCTCAATCGACTAATACTTCAAAATTGAATAGGTTTGTTAACGAGCTGTCCGGCTGAATGTTGCGAATGGAGTCGAGTGCGCCGCATTCGCTAACCGATCGTGTATCTCGTTTTGTTAATGTAAACTATACAGAATAACGTCGACACTGCGGAGTTTGTGTAGAAAATGAAATTGGCAGATTCCTTGAGGGCGCAGCGTTAAATGCACGCACACCGCCGCCCCTACACCCCTTTAGTGCACCAATGCGGACGAAGTAGGGCGTAATATCTTGAGAGTTCGCCCCCGGGTAGTGGGCGTGGAAGTAGGATGCTGCGTTGCTATAGCAACCGTGTGTAGGGGCTCGTACGTGTGTTGATGGTGTGGGTGCAAGGGTGGTTGTGCCTTCGTGTGAGTACACTGCGTTTTCCGACCTTGGAAGTTTTGGTCTAGTTTTAGACGTATGCCTTTTTAAAGTGGAACAGTGAGTCGCATCGAGACGCCTTTGAACTTTCAAACAGCTATTGTTTCTCGTTCCCAACTTCCTCGCAGTTAATGAAGTCTCTAAATGAGTTTATATTTGTTTTAGTATACTACACTAACAATAATATAGACTTAGGTCAATCAATGTCTTTTGGTCTACTAATATAGAAAATATTCATGATTACGTCTCTTATTTTAAATAATTATTAATAAATACCAATGCACTATATGTATATATAAAATACAATGTCATATAGTTCCTAAGTAGAGCTTGCAATAAGGGTCTTAGTGCGTTAGTGTTATGACTTTTTTGTAAAGCATAGTAAAATGTTTAGATCTAAATATAATCTATAATCATTACGTTTAAATTTCGCGAATCTAAACCATATATTTATTTACCATAGTGACCATTTATTTACAAATGAGACAATATGATAAAGCTCCACACCACTATAGCTACATTGTGACACTGTCCGTGTAAATGTGTGTTTTAGAGATATAATCTACAAAATATAAATTATGTGTAAGATATATCCTAAATTTCGGGTATAAATAAATATCACGATGTTTGAAAAGTCAAAATCAAAAATAAAAGTACTAAACCTATGAAATACTACGTCAAATACATTTCCAAATAATAAAGTATCAATAAATCGTAATACTTCAATTCAGAATTGCGAAAAAATTCAAATGGGACTACCCTCGCTCCGTTGATTCGGCGTCATTTCTTATCCATTTCCGGGGTTGGTTCTTCGAGCCGGAAGCGAGCTCCGGAACCTTATAACGAGGGAAAGCGCTTCCTAGCATTAAATATACATACATATGGATTTATATAAAATATGTACTTTATTGTTCAGGTCTCAGTGAGTATAGTGTGAGAGTTAGTGCTCATTTTTGTAATTAAAGTTAATAAAAAATAATATATTTTTATTTTAAAAAAATGCATCAGATGTAAATTTTAGTGTAACATTTTCATTATAGTATTTATTTATTTGTTTATTTCTATTATTATCTATAAACAGAATAACAAACATTACCATTATATTCGCGTACTTACTTCTATTATTAGTATAAATAAAAAGTACGATACATATATCAACAAAAAATTGTACATTAAATGTTGAAATGTTAAATTCGCTATATAACTTTTCATATAAAATTTCTATGAAATCTATGAACTGAAATGGTGGGTTCAAGAGCATCTAATCTACAAATTTGGGGTCGTATATTCAAATCTGCGAATATCGGCGTACCTCCCCTGGGAGGTTGGGGCCGGGGGTTGTTGACCTTTTTCCAGAGGCTGCCATGCAGATCTTTATAGGTATACGTGTAGGTATATTTCTGCTGATAAACGATCCGTGGAAGAGACATTAACAACTCTTTATATTTGTTCCACTTGAATACTAATATATTAATAATAAATAGTCCTTCTTTGCTAACACTATTTCAATTATGTATGTTGAAGTGCAACAAATTATTACATATAGGTACTTTGTTGCATTTTAACACACAATAAAAATACATAAAAAACGATTTAAAATACATAAGAAAGTCCTAGTAAGAACGGAAGTAATCATAAATAATGTAAAATTATTAGACACCATGCAATAGATTTTCATATACCAAGAGTTAGCACTAGAAAAGACTCTGATATTGTAACTGTTGCAGAATTCACCAGCTGGCCATTTACCATCAGTCAGGCCGTATATTTCATTATCAACGTCGATGTTTAAAATAAGTGTTTCTTGGTGTTTTCAGTATAAAATTAGATCTTTGTTCATAGACTGCGAAGGGCACGCCAATTATGTTTTTGACGTGCCACCAGGACTAGGCTTGGAAAATTGGTACAGCCCTTTAGTAAGGTTTTTTTAGCTTTATGTATTCCTGTTATATATGAATAAATAATAGGAAGGTTTTATAATTATTCATAAATATTCTGTGTTAACGACTTATGCATGGCTATAGTTGGCTGTATTAAAAAATGATCACTCTTCTTTTGCACCTCAGATAAATAAATAAATAACCTTTGACAATTCATACAATACAATTTAGTTCTAAACTAAGCATGGATTGCACTATGAATACTAGAGAACCAATAGATGAAATAAAAAAGTTTATATAATAGGTACATATGTAATAAATATAAAGAATCATTCAGAACTCTACAAATGTATATTGTAGTGTAATAAAACCCCTGACTAACGGAAGTAAGTTCGTGCTGATTAAGTGCTAAACTGAGGTAGTCAGACGCGTATATAACAATTAGTCAATAGTGATACACATGCAGTTGCAGCATTCTCAAATAAAACATAAAATAACTCGCTAAAACAAAACATTTATCATATATAGATGAAGTCCTGAGAAAAAAATCATTCCAAGTATGTAGGTTATTCGTCCATTCTCGTCTGAATCGCGAACCCTTGAAAGGAGCATCAATCACAATCTGCTAGCGAGACTCGTTAACAACCGAGTCAGTGTGACTCACTTGGTACAGTCAGATAAATGTTGTTTGTTCGTAAAACTAACTTCAAAAAAGAGGTACCTACTCAAAATAAGCGATATTTTGTAATATATACAAAATATTTGTTACGTGATATCTTTGCTAATTTTATATACATTATGTTGACTTCTTATTGCCGACGGCCAAAAAGAAAAAGTTCGCAATTTATCAGTTTTTATTGTGTGTAAAAGCTACACAAGGTCTTTTTTATATCGAAACAAATTTGAATGAATCTTTTCAATTCTATATTCAATTTATTTTTCATAGGCCGAGTCTTACATTTTTTTAACTTTTGGTGATCATTTATGAGTATATTTTTAGTACCTAAATATATAATATATATAATTTTTAGTACC